AGATTAAAATCAGAATTCTGAGATTAAAGACAGAATTCTGACTTTTTTCCATATTAAACTGAAATAAAATTTAAACATCAGTTAACTTTTTATTTTATCTTTTCAGTGGCCCTAATCCTCTTCAATAGAAATTACCTTTTTTTTTTATTTTTATGAAACACTTATTATTTATCTCGCCAATGCTGCAAATAAATGAGATATGGAAGGAAGGAAAAATCTCAGTGATGACACAAGAGGCCGCTCTTGAGGTTAAAACATGCTAATAGGCTGGGATGTGTGGTTTGACAGCCAGGACTCTCTGCCCTGGGAAAAAAAAAAAAGCAAACAAAGATGCTGGCTCTATAAGCACCAGGCAGCAGGACAGATAACATTAGGAGGGTTTAGCTGAACGGCTACCCGCTTTAACACGATCTCTCTGTGTTTTTTTTTTATGTTTCCACAACAGGAAGCCTTTTTTTTTCGTTGAATGTCGAAAGAATTTCAGATGGATGTGTGTGCCTTAGTTAGGTGTCCCTCAGTTGTTGTTGTTAGCCGCTAAAGCTAGCTGTAGAAGTTGCGAGCTAGCTGGCCTAGCAAGCAGCAGAAAGATACCGAGGGACTTCAGTTTAATGTGACATGCTCAGCTTTCAGCGGTGAGTAAACCGTTCAGCTCATGGAGACAGTGTGCCTGGATGGCAGTAGTTGGGGAACCGAGGCTTTAGCTGAGCTGTGGAAGTGCCTATCCCTATAGGTTACTTTAGCTTCCCACCATAGCCTCCTCCACTCCTCGGAAGAATGAGCAGAAAACATCATCACATAAAAGGAGCCGAAGTCAGCTGCTGCGTCAAATACTTCTTATTTGGATTCAACATCCTATTCTGGGTAGGTTGATTTAGTTTTTCTGTTTTTTAATTATTTATTTTATTTCCCCTTTAACGGTAATGAGTGTAAGTTGAAAAAAAGTGCGAATTTTTCAGGTAAAGTTAGCTTAACGTGTCGACCGTTGGGGTTAGTAACTGTTTTAACAAGATCTACTTTATACTAAAAATGTATTTATTTTTTTATTTATTTATTTACACATCACTTTTCTTACTCTGCCTTTAAATTGTTTAACTCCAACTCAAAGCTGTTGCTGTTCTGATTGACTTAATTTGTGCTTTCTTGCATAACTGTTAAGCTTGTATTAATCTTGAATCATTTGGTCCAATTCATGAGGTTTTAGTGAGCATTAAATGGATTATAACTTTTTAAATCTAACCTATAACACCATCATTTTTTATTCAAAACGCATTCTAGTTGGTGTCTACACTGGAAAACGATTAGGAAACAAGTAAAGATGTCTTAAATTAAGTGTATTTATCCCTAATTTAAGTAGATTTATGATATAGCTTGCCAATGGGATTATTTTTTTTCTCTTAAAATGTGATAATTAGATAAAATGCACTTTAAATAAGACAATGCAATTGTATTTTCTTATTTTAAGTGTAAATTGTCTTGTTCCGTTGGCAAAATGTCTCTTTTACCTCCTCAATCTAAGAACAAATGCACTTATTTTAACTCAACTCAACTCCAGCTTTATTTATAAAGCACATTTAAAACAACCGGGGTTGACCAAAGTGCTTTACAGGATTCACAGTTAATAAACATAAAGATAAAAGCTAAGGCTAAAATACATAAACACATAAAAAAAGAATAAGATAAATGTTTCAATTAAAATACATTTTAGAATAAAATGAAATTTAAAATAAAATTTTGCCAAAGAAGAAAAAATGACTCATCTAGACTTTGACTTTTTCCAGTGTATTACTTTTTTATCATTAAAAGTCAAACTTGGGTAATAAATTCTTGTTTTAATACCAGTTGGTAAATGAAAGGTTACCTGTTTTTAAAAGAAAGCCCTTTAGTCGTTAAAGTAACTGGGTTTTTTTATTGAATATTTTGGTGAATGTCGGCTTCATTCTCAGATTAAAGTCAAGAAAAACGAAATAAATTCCTGCTCCTAACAAACAAACACAGGGACACATCATTGAGGAAATAACCAATCAGTCAGTCTATCTATTTATATTATTTGTACTCAGATTGTTGAGACGAAGAATAATATCAGTGTTTTTAAGGCATTTACTCTCACATCCATCAACCTAGCAGCCACAGGCAGTTTTACCTCTCATTTCATGCAACAACAACATTTATATTGTATTCTGAATGCTGTTCGAGTCTCATTCCTCTTGCCATCAACAGTTTTTTTGTTTTTTTTCCCACTGGATCTCTGACCTTTCTTCATTGTTTCCACGCTTTTTTGGCTGGTGCTTATTTACCCCTGAAACTTGCAAAGAATCGTACCTTAGTATTGGAAATATACACTAAAGTTTTTATTTACTAACAAATTTAACAAAAAAAACAAAGTGTAAAACACAAAAATGATAAATAATATGCAGGATACGGTTATCTTTCAGAAAAAACTTTGTATGGAACTACAGTTAGCTACTGGAGAATAAATAAAGTCCAATAACCTTTTATATTTCCATTTTCAACTAACGGCTGTGGTGTCTGTTATGGTACTCTGTTGCTGTAGTCTGTCTACTAGTAGGTTGCATTTTTTCAGGGAAGGTTGTTGTTTATGTTATTTTACAAGGAATAGGGATTTCAGTTACTGTTGCCTTTTTATATCTTTTTAAATCAGTCTGCCTTTGGTTCTCTTATAACTGTTCACACAACTGCGACTAAGTGGACATGTTCTCCTGTCCCAATATCTCTATAAACCCAAAGCCTTTGAGTAGGAGAGTTTTACCAGTGGAGGACCAAGAAAGTTACGTTGAGCCAGGGTTTCCAACAGTTTGGCGGAAGTGCTTTTCTGCCATTCAAAATATAGGGGGATATGTAAGAGGCCTTATACTGTATTTTTGATAATTATTTCACAAAATACATAACCACTTAAGTTTATTTATATAGCGCCTATTAACAACACGTCATCTCAAGGCACTTTACAGTTCACCAGATCATTCAGTCAAATTGATTGAAAGTTTTCTATCTAAGAAAAACCAGTTGATTGCATCGACTCATTCACTTAAGGGCTGGTTATACTCCCCGCAGCAGTGTGTCACAGTGAGCTTGTCGCAGATATTTTAGATTTATGCTAAATTTTGAAGTGTGGTCTGCCCTATGTTATTCCATGCCACAATGCAAGAGGGACAATCAGGAACTAGCTGGAGGTCTAGATACGGCCGAGGCGGTGAGGAAGTGGGGGCAAGTTTGTGCGACAATGGAGGGACATGAGGGCGAAAAAGAGCGGGAATCCAGGTTGCTTTTAGTGTGACACACGCAGACGACCTGGTTTCTTAGTATAAATAAGCCTTAAGCATGCTTGTAGCGACAGTGGAGAGGAAAAACTCCCTTTTAACTGGAAGAAACCTCCAACAGAACCAGACTCGGTGTGAGCGGCCATCTGCCGAGGCCGACTAGGGTTCAACGAGACGGAAGCAGTACGAACAACTTTACTGATTGGTTGTACTTTTTTTTGTTTGTTTTAGTCTACAGACTATTTCAATATTATTTAGTTGACTCATTTTAACTGTAACATTTAGATGCTAACATTTTGATTACAAGAACAAAGATGAGTAGAGTGGCCTAAAGATAATATTTAGGTCTTGCAATTCTAGTGTGAGCAGCTAAGGCTATGTTCACACTGCAGGCCTTGATGCTCAATTCTGATTTTTTTTTTGTGAAATCCAAATTTTTTTTGTGTTGCCGTCAAAATTTCCAAATATATGTGACTTGTATGTGATCTCCTGTGTAAACTGCATTCATACAGCTTATGTGTTCCGCATGTACAGTAGAGGACGAAATGTGTTTCCGGAAGTAAACATGTATGTAGTGCTGGAGCTCATCTCGCGATCTTTCCAAACCTTAAAACCTTAATCTTTTCAAGATGGTTTAAAAAAAACAATGCTCTCCGCATCATCGTCGGCTCTGGTGTTTGTTTTTCTTGCCGCTTCTGTGTAGCAAGACGCAGAATAGTGACCTATGTCTGTTACTAATGGCGTTCAGGTCGGATGAATGCGACCTCATCGTTTGGATACAGGTCGCATTGAAAAGATTAGATTCGTATCGGATTCAGGACCACATAGCCAAGTCGCCTGGGTTTGATTGGAAAAAATCGGATCTGTGTTGTTCAGACTGCCATGAAAAGATCAGATCCAGGTCGCAAAAAAATCGGATTTGGGTCACTTCAGGCTGCGGTGTAAACATAGCCTAAATTCCCTCGACCTCTTTAAGCTCCATGCATCGCCTTTGCTCTTTGACATGATTCCCATTCTTGTCAGCGATTTTGTCAAAACTCTCTTACCTTTTTTACGGCTTTTTGTAAACACAATATCTCCTTGAAAAGTCAAATGGCGTTCTTTTTTTTAAATAAAAATACTCAGAAAAGCCCACCTGACACCAATAACCATTATAAAATCTTTTCTTTTATTTTTCCTCCTCATCCTGATTTCAGGATTTGAAAAGCAAACGATGTGTAAATGCCTAAATGTTCTTAGGTCCATTTATGTGATTGGTTGGTTCTGTACTGGAATTAACCAGCAATTAAGCAGGTATACCTAATAAAGTGGCCCCTGAATCTAGCTGTTAATTAGTCACTCTTAGATAACGGCTTGTATTCATAGGAATTGTTCTGATTCTGCGTGTACGTTAAGTCGATGAGCAGCTGCTGTTTGGTGTTTTTTTTAACATTAGTATTCATTTGTATTTTTTTACTTTACTGACTGGTTGTAGTGTCTTAAAAATCCTTGAACTACAAAACGTCGTTTGGTAGTTACTTTACCACCGTTTTTTGTTTGTTTTTGTTTTCCAGAGAAGGTTTAATTAACTGAGGATTTGTTTTTGTTTCTTTATTTCCTGCTTCAATGTATCTGTAGCTTTTGGTTTTATGGAGTTGAGCGTTAGGAATGGAAAACTCCTCTACAGCACATCCTCCATCTTTATCCCTCCTGATTGTGAAAAGTTCCTCTGTTTAGGTTGCCTCACCCCTCCCTCCCTTCCTCACCCGCCTACATGGCCTCTGTGCGGCTGGTGTAGCATAATGTCGGTGGGTGAAGCAATGGTGTGTCTGTCTGGCCCGGAGGGTCTTCCCACACACAGTTGTAAAGAAAAGGCCACACGGCCTGAATCCTACCCACCCCTGCTCTTTTCAAACATCTCTTTTAAAGTCTCCACAGCTGTAGTGCTCAGGCTTCACTCCACTGCATTGTTTTTCTGCTCTCGCAAACCATTGAATGCGCACAGAAGGTTGGGAAGAACAAAGGCGGGATTACAGGCGATACGGAGGAGTTCCTCCATTATGCAGATGTTCTAATGGAGTCTTTGAATATATGAGACATAAATACTGCTTCTTATAATAAAAACCCCTTAACTAAAATCTAAAAAGCGATTTTACTTGCCTCTCTTTATGTAAAACCGATATATTATGAGCTAGATAAACATCTCATGAGTCATTGTCTTATAGAGATATATATGTTGTAATTTGTCTTAAATGAGAAGTGCTCTGCAGTTGAAAATGAGTGAGGATTCAAGCGGGAACTATTGAGTCAGAGGCCTGTGGTGCTCCGTCTGACTCATTGTGTTCTCTCAGTTTGACACTCAGGCCAAGGCAACAGGCTCCTATCAGCACTTTGCGTAAAGCTGTGGAACAAGTTCCAGCTCGCTGGCTGTTTCCGTTAATAATAACAAGAAGATGTTTCCCAGTTGTACATGTGCTGCGGAGCCGGATTCTGATAGACAAGCCTTTGCATCGCTCAGATAGATGGAGATGGGTGTTATTCTCCTTTAATCAGTCCATTTGTTTTTCTCATAGCGATCTTGTCAAGCTTGAAAACACAGCCTAAATT